TATTTTACCAGAAGTATTTGTCCTAGAGAAAAAGGTATCCGCGTCAGTTGTTGCTTGGATTGAGCAAAATATGCGGAGGTCGAGGTGATAAGCCATTTTTAGCCGAATTACGGCTTTGTCATGCATTCGACCCGTGAAAAATCAGTCACAATGTTAATAACGAAGATGTAAGCAACTGCTTTCTGCATGCTACTGACCTTCAGCACGTTTCTATATTTTCCATCAAAGTCCACCTGGTTTGCAAAACTAATTCCCAGTGTTACGGTAGTAGATTGATGCCTAGGACCGACTGACCACAGTGAGTTTAGTTCGTCCTGCCAATGCACACACTGAAACCACACCGTGAACTTGAGTCTAGTCCATAACATTTGTCGTAAGTCATCGCGACATGCAGGAGTCAAAAGGCCAAAAAGTGCCTGGGTGAAAACGACTGTCGCCAACTGATGAATAATACCTCTCCATCTCCGGTGTTTTCAGTCTAACTCCATTTTCCCACTGGTCGGCTATCCGGCATGCAGTCGATCGGGCACGAATATGTGTAACCACCCCACCCCCAACTACCTTCCTACAAAGTGCCTTTTTAATGCACTAAAACAGGCATGCAAGTCAAATGCGACTTATTAGCACAACGCTTCATCGACTAGAAAGTCCCTATTATCACAGTTGCCGTATTGTCGATGGACTTACGCCGTAGTTCTGAGGAGGATACATATATTCATGTCCGAACGTGCAATATTTCATAAAGGACAAATGAAAGTTACCTATATCTCAGGGTCGTCTGCACTAACTTCAAATCAACCTAAGTTTGCGCACTTTCGTAAAGTACAAAGTACCGAAATTTGAGACATCGAAAGCGTACAAGTCAGCCAGCAGAGTAAAGGCAACCCTTCAGTTTCTAGGATTGTAACACAGTCACTACACTCTGGGACTCCAGGGGTCGTACTCCAACGGTCGCACCCGCTCTTGCTGCCTTATGGAGTTCCATTAAAACCGACACAGGGCTTACCTAATGCTGTTTTTCCCCTATCAGACCTGCACAGACATGCAGGTTTGTCAAATTCTAGGCAATATCTGATTTCTTATTCGTACCTGTTGGTGGTTAGGGTTAAGGGTTAGGGATTAAGGTTAGGGGTTGAGGTTAATGCCTAGGGGTTAGGCTGGGGCTTGTCAACTGCAGGTACGAAATGAGATTTGACACGTGAATGAGCAGAGCATTCACGCTTTGTATTAGTAAACAGCAGCCTTGGTTTGCGTGTTTCGTCGACATATACTCATATTTAGGAAGAGACGCTTTTCGAAAGACTGAACACAGGTGGTTGTTAGGTTTGTAGGTTGGTCGAAAATGATACCAAAAAAAATCTGAGCTGTTCAGTAAACTCCGCCCGTAAATAGTGAAGCCAACCAGTACCTTCAGCTCTTACTTCAGGCTCGTATGTTGGAAGTCTTATCGCATCCTAGTCAAATGGTAGAAGAACGCTCACCGATCGTGTTACGGAACTCACTCGTCCCGTTATGCCTTAAGGCTCTCTCTATGGCCCAACCAGCAGCCGTACAGCGGCACATGATATAGACAGAACGGCATCACCGACAAAAACAAGGGAGACTGGAATTGCCCTTTCTGGCTTATTAGCCGTCGTCAGCCAGTCATACCCAACCCCGAGGCGTGCAACATCTGGGGCTCGATCCGGCAACCTGTTGGTTAGAAGTCCAACGCCTCTAACCACTAAGTCACGGACTCGTTGCCCTGTCGGTTGCGATTGCGAATGTACATGGAAACGGGCCCGTGGCTCGGTTGTTGGAGGATTTGGACTTATAACTAACAGGTCGCGCGATCGAGCCCCAGATGTTGCACACCTCGGGGTTGGATATGACTGTCCGACGACGGCAAACAGGCCAGAAATGGCAATTCCAGGCCCCAATACCTTTGTCGGCAACGTTATCTATATAATGTCTAATAATTACACCCTGTATGATTTTAAACTGTACTGAACTTCTTTTTACGTTGCCAATTAACAGGCCGGAGACTGGGGCATCTCAGTGATCAACTATGCCCTTTTCTGCAGTACTCCTTTATTTCCGCATTTAGACTGTATCCTGAATTATTTAAAACGCGCAAAACGTAAGGTAGTAACAATAGTACATTTCTATGATTATGTATCAAGTACAAGGTTCACTCGGTTACATTCTTTACAAAAGATACGAGCGAAAATGACTAATTCCCTGAGTGCTCTGTTACGAGAGTTTCGTAGAACACCAATTTGAAACATTGTTGAATTCCAAGAAATTGTCTCTGCATCACAATATTTTTTATCGATCAAATAGGAGTAGGAAATGCGTAAATGTTTTCATTCCTTTTCATAATACCACGCTGGATACGAAGGCACTAGGAATCCATCACATTCCCTTAGATCTTAGGATATCCAAATCCAGAAATGTGCTCCTCCTTGGAGCGAGAAAAGTTTGCACTACTGAGATGCTAGGTTCAAAAATTTCTTGCCTCTAAGAAGTCTTGCTTAGACTTGGCTATCTAACAGGTTTCATCCAAAAGTACAGCGTTACCTTACGGTACAAGCTGACTGAGCAATCACTTTCGAAAGAGCCATTGAAATATCCCTTCTCTTTAAGGGTGCCAACAATCTAAATACCATCAAACGACAGTTGAGATGCACCATTGAAAAGATACATAATGCAGCCGAACTTATATTCAACAGTCCTACTAAAGCTATTCCGATTCCGAGGACAAAGGATGCCTTGTCATTGCACGTCATCCCAAATTGTGTTTACGAATTCGCATGCACTCGTGGATGCAAGTACATGGGCAAACGCAAAAGAAACTGGCATCCAGGTCAGTTGAGAACCTGCCCAAATGACCTTTAAAGCAGAACAATAAAGTTCGTCGTTCTTCCTCCACGAAACTCTTCCTAGATAGAGGACACTCCGTTGAGCCCAAAACATCCTTTCGAGTACTTGTTCGGGCACGAACAACTCGTCAGCTAGACAAGCGGGACTGTTCTTGTAGATAACGGTATCTGCGCGGCGACATAGTTAAGGACCAAATTCGGACAGAGTCAACGAAAGTGACTTTGGGGATCTAATGACAAACTTCGGGTTAGGTGTCCATGCACGTAAAGCTGGCATGTGACAAAATAGTAAAGTCGGCATTAGTTACCTTCTGTCGCCATAACGTGGAATATGGTACAATCCAAATCAGTGATATTAGCTGTCGCTGTGCGACTGCCGGCTGGGCTTTAGATCGAGCAGCAAAAGAACAACGGGGCGAGCGAGTCCCGCAAATGGTCGGTGAACGTCCATCTACCGGTGTTAGCATTCCTTATCAAAACCAAAAAACAACGAGCCCCTGGTTTAGCGGTTAGGGTGTTGAAATTCTAACCAACAGGTCGCGGGTTCGAGTTTCAGAGGTTGCAAACCTCAGGGCCGGGCATGGCTGGCCGACGAAGACTAATAAGCTATAAATGCTATTCCAGTCTCTCCTGTCTTTGTTGGTTATTTATTTCTAAATATAATATATGTCTTCCACGTAAAAGGGCTTCTTTTAGAAATTTCATTAGATTCACATTTTAGGACACTGAGGTGTCATGTGGTCAACAATTTGACACCCGTAGGTCCGAGTGGAGGTGTACATACGCGTACCTCTTAAATGCCACACACAACTTCATATGTTCGACACTTTACGGATCCATACGTCGTTCTCTCCCCTCCATGTCATCCGGCAAGGAGCAGGAGCGTCAATTCCAGGCATACACTACAAGCGCCATTTACGCCTCCACTCATTTGCCCCACCCGTATAGCCCCAATTACCACCGGTCCCATTAGACAGGTAGCTGAGAGTTTTCCGCACCGGGAGGGCTACCAACTATCATCTAACCGTGGATTATTCATGAACAGCATCCTCAAACAGCCTACAAAACATCTAAAATTGCAAAAAGCCACGCTAGACTATAACCGTTTCTATGAAAGGCAATATTTCATATGCATGTTTGCGCCCTGACAGAGTGATCTGGTGTATATATAGATATAAGGACCCCAAAATGCAAAGTTTATTGTGGACTTGAAATAAGGCAACGTGGAAACAAGAAATCTTATATGCAAGTATGTGAATGGCTTTTAGAATCTGGTTTCCTAATTAAGGACAATTATTGGAGTCCCAGTAACTTGTTTAAATTAGTCAAGGTCGCCCTGGACATTTTAACTGTAAGTCAGGCAGTTATCCATTGTCGAACATGACAACAGCAGCAGAGAAAGTTATTCGTGCTGAATTGCTCGCGTCTCCCTCTAATTTGCTTCCTGGAACTCGCCAATTCGCTTGTATCGGTGCTTCTAAAACATCCTAGCCAATCAACGGACATGCGGGGTGATAACTGCGCAGGGCTTCGTAAGCATGTGCAACTTTTCCTTCTAGGACTGTCTTCATCGCGGTTTCAACATTTATTTCCGCAACTCCAAGGTTGTACTCATGATGCCCTCTTGTGCCAGCTTCTGAACATGGCTTCTGGTTCGTGTGTAATATCAGACGCTTCTAAAGCATGTTTTAATAGCAGCAGGACATGGCATATCGTCAGCGGATTTCCTGCATGAATCCTCTAGAATGAGCACGCAGACATCGAGTTATCAAGGCTTGTTCTGTCGCTGGTGCCATCGTTGACATCGAATTTCTATACGAGTTTAACCTGAGGAATATGTTTCCCCAGATCTCCACCAGTCTCCTCCTTACTCTTTATCGGTTTTGTAAGTCCCACCAGATGACTCGTGGAGTAAATGCTCATGGAGACTGCGCATTCAAGAACATCCATCAGTCATCTAGATGAAAGTGCTTTCCAGAACTGTTTGGCCGAATGAAGCCAGTAAATGGTCAGGAGAGAACTTGTTCTGAAAAGCGAACATGTAATTTTGAGCTAGAAATGCTTGTGAGGTTGGAATACAGAAGAACTAAGACAGGACTGAGGTAAGTGTTTGCGTCAAAGCACAAATGGAAGGAAGGGTCAGCCGCAGGAAACATTTGTGAGACTATCATCATCATCATCATCATCATCATCATCATCATCATCATCATCATCATCATCATCATCATCATCATCATCATCATCATCATCATCATCATCATCATCATCATCATCATCAAAGGCCAGAAATCTGCCATCGAGGTTTCCGTTATTGACAGGCCTCTGGGTGCTTACCTGAGGTGACCGCATTAGCTCACCGCTGACACCAGGATCAGTCGTCTTCGTGATATGACAAAAGAAGGGAAGGAAGTGGTTGGTTGCCATGATGGTGACCGCTCTCCCGCGGGCGGCCACGACGTTTTACCTGCGGCGGCGCGGCGTCAGTGCTAACCTTTCTCTGAATAACAATTTACTTCAGCACTTGCCGTTCGTAGCAGCATTCGGCCTGCTTGTTAAAGTTTACTGGATAAGGTTGGGTTAGTCTTAAATTCTAAAGACGGTCATTTTAATTTCTATGCCCGAGGTATCGCCGTATTTTTTTGGAACTGACCCGCACTTCTAAAACAACGGCAGTGCTCTTGGCGGTCAATTAGAACGCTAGTTATTCTGTGTGCAACATGTCCCAGTGCATTTAGCCCACGGATACTATGTTGGTCGTCCGGTCGTAGGCTAGATTACTAAAGCGTTCACGGTGGATTCAACCTGTAATATTAGAAGATATCAAGAGCCTGAGACGCATGCTGCGTCGAAAGTCCCAGTCAATTTCTCGCCTCATACGTCATTCAGAGTGAAACCAGTGAGTTCTACTAAATATGACTGGAGATTAAGTCCGTATTGCAAGTTCCTCCAAAGCACAAATAGAATAAGCACTTGTTGACAATAGGCACGTTTTAATAACATAGGACTATATTCAATAAGTCAAGAGCAAAAAAGAATGATAGGATAATGGAAACACGAGACAGTTAGAATACTACCACGAGAGGGTCAGCACTTGATGGCTGGGATCCACGCTCCCGGTTGGGTTTGTTGCTAACTGACATATCTTTGATATAATTCCGTAAACGATGGAGCGTCGAACTGTAGCATACGACGAAGTATTGGTACTAGTTACCTACTACTAACAGACTGCTGCGGAGTTAGGGCATTAATTACCGGCTGAAGACTACAACACAAGAAGTTACTACTACCTCATAGTTTGATCCGAAAACTGAAAGATTCTTTAATTAACTAACGAGCCCGAGAATAACTTTCCTCGCTGCACAATAGTGAACCGTAAGTAGTCGTCTGTACCTTCTGTATTGCAATAACCATCATTAGACGCACGCAGTGGTCATTTCATCGAAACCGCGACTTTCAACCCGCTCAAAAATGAACAAATAAACAAATGTATTTGACCAGCTTCACGTAATACGTCATTTTGCTAATGTGTCAATACCAACATGTACGCATATCTCTCTTACCTCAACTTTCTTATTCGTCATATAACGCGCAGTTACCTTTAAACGGTAAAGTGCAGTTCGGCCTCAAGCGTTTCATTTTCTGTTAGCGATATTTTTGACCGACGAAACAACAAAAGTGGCAAAAATCCCAAAGACCAAGAGTACCAACGTTTTACAATCGTGAGCATTGTAAGGGAGGACGCCTTCATCTTAATGTGTCCACATAACATCACCCAAACCGCTTCCAGTGCATTGCATCTGACTGAGGTTTTTTTAACTTTCGAAAGATTTTTTATGTCATTAGTACGTGGGCAAAAATAACCCGAAATACGAATCTTTCGTCTAGACTGCACCAACGACTGAGGCTGTCTAGTCAGCCACGCTTACGCATGCGAGACAGGACCTCCCCCTTCCCCAAAATCGATGTTCAGAATTTTAAAAAGCCTGAGGCGTAAGTCTGAGTGTTTATGAATGCCAAGCGCACGTTAGTACTTTTTGTTTGTTTGCATACTCCCAATTTAGACTTTTGGAGACAAAGTGCAGAATAGTCTAGCGGCGCAGACGGACCATCTAGCTTCACAAAAAGTCTTTTTATCCTAGCCTGCGATTGGTTCCAGCCTCAGCGAGGACAAACCAATGGGCCTGAAAGCATCAGCATTGTATCACCCGCGAATGGAACGCCTTAATTCGTTAGAAGCAACGTCAAAGCGTGATGAAGATGACTCATTACGGTTTGCGTTCTCATTGCCCTGCTCACCAACCCCTGGATTCCAACCGGTCATGGAACGCAGAAAGAGCAGTTCCTTGTCGTCCCTATCAAGGCCAATGTTTTATTTAAATGCATCGAATGGATCACACATGTGAGTCATGGCTCGTAGCCTCGGTTGCACTCCTTGGCAGTAGAGAAAAATGATTTGTCTTCCCGTTCTACAATTAGGACTCATCAAGTCCTTTTTTATATGAAGTGTTTCAGGGAAGATCAGGTACTTTCCTAATGAATGTACTTTGCGACTCAGCAGGTAGTTACCCAGAAAAACCCAAGGATTAGACACAATGTCCTCAAATCTATCACAGATAAAGGCCTGAAACGCATCCGCCCTACTTCGTGCTTCTCTTTCCCCAGTACATAAAACTACACTTTAAAAGTAAGCTTAAACAAATAAAACTTGACAAAAGGGGATCACGAGTCCTTTTGTATTATTCGGCACCGATAGGACGGGCAAGCTGATCATCTGGTAATTAATGTACTAGACGCGTTCCTTCTGTGACAAAGAAGGCCTCGAAAGGAAATACTTTGAGAACGCGTATTTAAATAACGCTTAATGAGTAACTATACTTAACACACCCTGGCTGTTCAGGTAGAGCGGCGCCTATTTTGCAAAGATAATTGCGATCGATTATTTAAGTTGTTCACTTTTCTAATCTGTGCAAAGTGGATTGCGTTATATGCACACCTGTGCATCTTGTTTGTCCTATTTTGACCTGGCTGTAGGGGTTTCGGACATGAAATTATTGTAACCGTCTCTAGACAAAGCTTGTCTATGGAAGTACGGTCTTAGAGACGAACTGCAGGTGAGACGAAAAGAACTCTTTTCATTCGACAGCAGTTCATGCACTGCATTAGGGCTCTAAACTTCGTTCGGTCTTCAATCAAAGAAGGTTTGTGGTTCCGCGACATTCAGCCTCCACCTTCCCCTATCAATGTTATTAGTAGACAGACAAAACGCCCATGTTTGACTTTTAACCAACATTTTTTCTTTCAAGCTCCTCTAACATTATTAAAAGGAATATCGTTGTCATATCAGTTTGTGTAATAATGTAAAATCCTGTGATAACCAAAAAGCTGTGTTCGTCTAAGCTTACATAGCAACGTCGTCTTAATTTTAATAGCAAGAAAAAGGTAAGTACGATGGAGTGAACCGATTGTAAACGCAGTTTACATAACAATCGAAGCACTGAATAGCAGAGATGCATGTGGTTCAAACGTTAATACCGGGTGGAGTTTGTTACTAAATTCCGAGAAGTAGTAGGTAGAATTGCTGCCTTTTAAGTAAAGACCTCTTCTTTATGCTTACTTCGAAAGATGGCAACACATGTTCCCGAGACATTTATGTTAGGTTTATGGGACAAATACCCTATAGACAGAAAAAGGGTGGTCATGGATTGTAAAACAAAAGTCAACAACCCATGACAATAAGTCAGTACCTGGACCGGGGCGAGGCGATTCGTCCTCAGCTCGTCAAACAAGGCCATTCCTACCAGCAACAGGAAAATGTTGCTTTTCGGTCTGGTCGTCTGACTTACCCTACGTAGTTATCACTCCTATCTGCAGACTTACACCGTCTCTATAACACTATGTGCTAGGTTATAGTTTAATTGGAATAGGGCCAGGTAGACCTTCGTATGCCAGAGGTCAGGCTCTACGTAGTAACTTAACAAGCGTTTAATTACCAGACAATGTCTCCTACACTGCCATATATTTATATCACAAAAAGTTAATGCCGAGTAGCTTTGCTGTTTTTACCATCTAAAGCGTGCCTTCCCGTGAATCAGTAGTTTATATCATAGAACTGACCTGCGTCAAAGGAAACAAATGAAAACTGCACCCCGAAAAACCAGCCCACCAAAAATTGTCTTCCTCTGTTTGCAACGATTTTCCAAAATAAATGTAAAGAACTTCACTTAATTGTAGTCATAATAGGCAGAATGCTCATCTGCATTGCAAAAGTCTAACTCATGCAGTTGTTGTATCCTGGCCACGAAGATTACAGGACGTCTTATGGTGCTTGTTTTTGGAGGATTAAATGTTTGTCTTGAATGCTTTTTTCGACGAAAAGCTTATTTTTTCTTACTTTCTTTGACTTCAGGTAGAGATTATTACTGATGAGAGGAAACTATAGGATTATTTAAAATGTCTTTTTCGTAGAATAAATCTGAACAAGATATAATGGTGAAATAAAAAGAAGTAGAACGCAAGAATAGAGACTTCCTGTACTACCGATGGCCTTGCGCTAAACTCCGGTAGGTTACTGTTAAGGGTAGGAGAATAAGGGTTAGGATTATGGGAGTTAGGGTCAGCGCACGGGAATATGCGTCCCCCTCCCCGTAATTTAGCGCAAGGACACCCGTAGTACGGAGGTCCTTATTCCCGTTTCATACCTAAAGAGGATTTAAGGGTGTCATTCCTTTTGGCGATCTATTACTCGACTAAAAATACGGCGCTTTCAGACAGCCTAAGGCATGTAACCAAGTGACGTTTTAGATCGTTAGTAATTGTGTAAGGCATCGCACAGCTGGGTTATGCTAATAAATTCAGCTTCTTTCACTGCGTCCTATTATTATCTGTGACTTCAACTACATTCGTCACACTCAAATGAATAAATTTTGATAACCAATACGACGGTTAAATAAAATGTATTATGGACCATGGCATATTTCAGCTCGCCGATCAGGTTACGGAAAATGCTCGTCCCGTTGTGTCTTGAGACTCACACTAGAACCTCCGCAGACAGCTATACAGCGGCTAATAGTACAGTGCGTGACCGATCTCATGAAATGTTGGCCAAAATTCTGGAATGAGTTTTCGATTAGGAAGGACTACTTTATTGGGGTTGTTATACTGATTACCCTGCAGCATAACCTTATAACATTTCGGACTCGCCAGGATGTCGGCTTTTGAATGCACTTCTTTTTGACCTCCTGTAGAAACCACATTCGGCAAAAATGACTACTTATTTAGCATGCATTTTTCCCATTGATTTTTGATGGTCTTGTAAGTTAAAATATATTTTATGGAAAACATGCACAAAATATGCTTTATTCTGCTCATTTGGTAGGAAATCGTATAGTCTTCAAATTTTATGCCTGATCAAAGTGCGTATTTAGATTTTCAATAAGTTTCCCAATTCTCGAATAATTATCAGCTGGATCTGCCATTGCATCAGCGTTTAACAATTTTAGTCTACAAGGTGCACGCTTTCCCCGTAAGGAAAATCATATATTCCTATATGTCTTTAGGAAGATACCACATACAGCTCATGAAATTTTGCAATGGATCCGAACCGTGTTGTACATTTCATGAGGAACATAAGTAAATGGACATGTGCGGTCTTGCATGCATGGACATCGCACAGTCTTAACAATCTCATAATTATAGACTTTCTAAAAACCTAAATATGCACTTTCTTCGAGCATAAAAAGCGAAGACTATATGATTTCCTACCAACTGAGCAGAAGGAAGCATATTTTGTGCATGTTTTCTGTAAAATATATTTTAACTTACAATACCATCAAAAATCAATGGGAAAAATGCATGCTAAATAAGTAGTCATTTTTTGCCGAGTGTGGTTTCTGCAGGAGGTCAAAAAAAGTGCATTCAAAAGCCAACATCCTGGCGAGTCCGAAATGTTATAAGGTTATGCTGCAGGATAATCAGTATAACAACCCCAATTAAGTAATCCTTCCTAATCGAAAACTCATTTCAGAATTTTGACCAACATTTCATGAGATCGGCCACGCACTGGGTAACAATCGGGAGATGACACCCAAAAGTCTGCCTAACCAAAGCAGCCTGTCTTACGGGACAGGTGGTAATAGGGGTTTTATGGGTTGTGGCTGGTCGGAATGTACGATACTAGCCGACAGAAAGTCTTACTTGAACAGGTGAATGATCGAAATTGGCCCGCTCTCCGTTCCGTTATTACAAAATGGGTCGCCAAAGGCAATATAATGGTAACGGACGAGTGGAAGGCGTATAATCTTTTTCCCTCAGAATGTTATCTACATTTCTCTGTTAACCACTTAAAGAACTTCAAGGACCCTACCACCGGACGGCACACCAATGCCATTGAGGCATACTGCAGTAGACTGAAAATGAAACTCTATAAGGGAGGCCCTATATGTGGTCGAGCTGTGTGGGCTCACATTGAGGAAGTACAGTATCTTCTTTGGTTTGATCTCAATGCCATGTCTTTGCCAGATGCCTGGGAACTGTTCCTGACCCATCTTGGGCAGACCTATCCTATTTAAAAATGATTTTGTTTTGTAATAAACTGCCATAATGCGAATGTATGCCGTATATTCAGGTGTAGGTGTGTAACGATGGGGGAGGTTGGGTAACGGCGACCATCGTCCATGTAACCTCCTGCGATGTTCGTTCGGCCAGCGCATGTTAGGCCGTTGGGGAAAGTCCAAGTACTGCGTGAAAGTAAACCTGCAACAGTTGATATAGTCTGAAGGCGTTTGAGTTCACTGTTAAAGGTATTATTTCTAGGTAACGGATTTTTGGGTGCCATATCCCGATTGTTACCGTGTCACGCCCCAGTACCAAAGGCCCCGGGTCCGAATCTCAGGTGATCCCCACTTAGGGTTAGCTAGTAGGCCAGAAATGGTCATTCCGGACTCAAATGTTTCTGTTGGACACCTCATGTCTTAACTATTTTCTTTTATGATCCTTACCTCAAGAGAAACACTCAGGCCTTAAATCCTTGAACGCGTGTTTTAGCTGATGGAAGAGACTGTAGTATTTGGCATTCGTTTGAGTTGGGTTTATCTGGATAGAAGGAGTGGAGTGTTTAAAATCTTTTTTGCATTGTTGTCGGAGCAGATTGTCTGTTCTTGAAAAGGGTACTTGCCGGTCAATAAGGAACACATGTTAAAATGTATCTTTCTGAAGAGATAGGTCAGTTGCCCAGGGGAATAACCGTTTCTCTGGTTGTCTGACCTGAAGGCTTCTAAATGGACTTGACATCTGTCATCCGAAAAATACTAATATGCACGGATTAGCTGTCTTTAACCTCGAGTCTTTATGACAGATGTCGCTAACTGACCGACTGGACTAATCAGTAACAAAGGTTTCTGCGGTTCAGCATTTTGCAGCCTTTGGGTGGTAAAGAAACAAGATTTGACAGACTAACCTCCCTCCCCCTAAATTTCGTATGTTTAATTTCCTATTTGGCAACAGAAGGGAGTTTGCCTAGCAATCCAGAGTCAAACGCTTCTCTCATGATTGTAACGACGGAGGTAAGATAAGTCAGCTGTACCAAACATTTTTTATGGGCTATCATTGGAAGTTTGATGCTTCTTACTTTTTTCCCAAGGCCCCATCCATGTAGACTGGTCGTATTAGGATATGAACGTCTCCTATGAAACAAAATCTCAAATTTTTGTGGAAGATGTACATGAGGTTTTATGTGTAACCTCCTTTACCATTAATGCAGCGCTGAGTAATGGTCGGCCGAAAAAATGTATATTCGGGGTCATAGCATTGTGCAATTTTGTTGGTATACGTCGCTACGTACTAACTAGACCCGGTCTTTTTCAACGCCTTGCTTCACAGAGTGCTAAAAGCCCTTAAAAAGTTGGACTGGACTCGTTGCGCCGACCGCAACTCTGAGCACTGTGTTATGAAATGGACAGAAACGGTGCTTCAGGTCAACTATCAACTGTTCAAAGAAGGGGAGCTGATGGTAAAGTCTCTGTGCTTATCGAACTTTATTCGTATATTTTTGTTTATACAGAGAAACAAGAGCCTTGTTCTCCTTGTTGTCTCTTTAAGTATCACAAGTTTTTGCCTTTAAGCTGATTATCGAGACATTCCGTGCACTTTAAAGACGCAGTCGCTAAAGTGGAAAAATACTGCTTAGTTGATCATAAGTGATGTCGGATATCCTTACCTCTACAAGTATTCTTCTTAAATGATTGCATACAAGTAAGCACACAGTCGTTTTCAGACTGCATGTGTAATTAAAGCACCTGGAGCTGTTAAGGGGGAGGAATAATAATGTGCGGAGCTTAGTCGGTCGTAGTAATTTTCCCGAAGAAATTTAACTACATGTACACTTACACAGGCCTGATGTGGATTTGCTGTAAGTTATCGTTCGATTACTCACCCGCTATGAACAGTGTCAGATATTGTTTTCAATGATGATCGCAGATGGCATGCAACGTCTCTGTTTCTATCCCACACTGAAAGCAGGCAAAGAGTTATGACGGCGAAGGTCCGCACGGATTGGCAGAATGGTGTAACTTGAATGAGCGGGATAATGTGTTGGAGAAGACGGTGGAATAGAGTCCTATTGGCTCGTACGCCGGTCAGTGGCTTCCTTTGATTAGGCGTAGCACGTTCCCGCAACCTTTTGGTTACCCACAATGGCCTCTTATGCTGACCTTAAACAAGAACTGGTATAATCTCTAGTCTTACTGTTCATGCTGTCTGTCCAACGCTTAATGTGCACAAATCAGAAACTGCAATAAACGGAAGTTCTGACTATAGGCTAACGGGCGACATGCGTCGCTGTTAGACCCTCTCGAGCTTTGTGTTGGATACTGTCTGTAGAAGTGGGCACTAGATCGTAGGTCTGGTCCTTTCTGGTACCTTCGCAAGCTGTCAACTATACTAGTGCCTGTTTTTCGCTTTACCCTAGCCAACTTTTAAGTGGACTACCGAGTCTCCGTTATGAGGTTAGGGACGACATTTGTTTTGTTAATTTATGATAAAAATGTGTGTACAAAAATACTCGGGTAGGCAGTCTTACCTCCTTGCGGTCATACATTTTATCGTCCGTCCGTGGCGGTAGGGACGGAATCTTCAATTTGCTCTCCGAATAAGTATACAAATTCTTTCCGGTAATTACGTTAGCACCATGCACTTAGGTTTAGCAGACGTGGTGTTGTATTGCCGTCCCCAAGGTCATCCGTGCAGTTCCCGGGACAGATGACAGCTTGGGGAGCAAGTGTCAAGGACTTTCAACGGCATATTCGCATGCTCCAGTTGCTGCGCCCAATATCGCCACTAGGATACAGGATCTGTTCTACCAGGTGCCATTACCTGATTTTTGTTAACTAAAAGGGCAACGTGGCCCTAAATACGATGGTATATAGGACGGCAATCAGTACATGCCAAATCCTAATTTGTCACAGTAGCCTTCATGCGTCAAGTTTGAAATCCTGAAGTGCGACGGACGACAATGCGACCTAACACAGGTGCTTCCGAGCCCGCTTTTCGGCTACCTGCGAAACCTTGCCAATCTCAGCTAGACGGCTCAGGACACTGGAGGATCCAAGGCATAATATGAGTTTAATGTTCCAAACACGCAAAAATAAGGCTGAACACTCCTCACCTTATTGGAAGGTTATATGGGTGCACTTTGATCCCAAATCTCGGTCTTTCAGTGTGAGACAATACGACTTGGCCGATACGAGCTGCATACCCGCTTCCATCAAGCGGGAGCTGCCAAGGCCAGACCGTCTCCTCGTGCGCTGGCACTGGAGGCGGGGGAAATGCCCAGACTATATGACCTTCAGAGCCGTCCACCGAAATCGAGAGCCCAGAAGGGAGAAGCGATTTGTGGCAGGAGGAGGCGGAAGTGTACGACAAAAGTGGAGAAAAAGAGGCCTTTGAAAGGCTTAGTGGGGCATGAAATATAGGCATGTGTTAAGTTAGATGCATGTAATTATTCACCGCAATGACAACACAGGTACAAGCTAAAAGCCCAGAAACGCGTGTTTCGCCGACCATGTGCCGCTGGCTGACGCAGCTGCGAGGGGCCCGGCTCATCAATTGGTCCCCCAACCTTCCCCGTGTATTTTCTGATAATATGAACTCCAGTTTCACCTTGCCTTGTTTAATTTCCGAGGAAATTAATGTGGAACTTGGAGCAAATCCTTCGGAACATAACTTTTCAGCCATGGTCCAAAATTTGATATGAATATTTGAGCTGAAACCTATTAGCTACTGCGGAATAACCGCGTAACATTCACAGACTGCCCACAGGCAGCCAGTAGTATAGATCCGTGCAATTATTTACTTTACTGACGGCAGAGGTACTAGTTAAAAGCCCAGACACGCGTGTTTCGCCGACCATGTGCCGCTGCCTGACGCAGCTGCGAGGGGTTGGGCTCATCAATGGGTCCTTCAACCTTCCCTGCGTGTTTTCTGGTAATATGAACCACAGTTTTACCTTGCCTTGTTTAATTTACTCCAAGTTTGCGGAAATTAAACAAGGTAAGTTAGATGCTCATGTTCTCGGTTTTTTGTTCACACACCTTTCCGTGGAGCAGTCGCGATATGTCCAGTCCAGCTGCCTTTTACTGACTCCATATGTACATGCCTTACCGTCCGTCCACCAGTGCATGTTTTCAGCCTTCACCACGAAAATGCAGTCCGGTTTTGCTGGCCTTGATTAGGTGAGGGTGTGGGGGTACATAAAGTGCAGCCTTTTTCTCGCCTGACCGCTCGTTGACCGTGGGCGTGCTTGGCTGGAAACGGGGCCGCCCCATCCGATAGGGTAAGGGCAGCGCGTGAGATGTAGAGGCAGATCGATATGTTAATCCTCAACTGTGATAAAGGAGAAGATAGGTAAACGAGTCCAGTTCGACACTTTAGGCATTGTCTCCTCAATGCTTTTTTTGCATACGGGCCTTCCTAATACCAGCACGTGCATGTTTGGAACCCTCATATTAGGGTAGTAGTGTCTCAGCTGCGTACTGATGATGTGTACTTACTTTGTATAAATAATTTCATCCTAATGAATAAGGAAATAGAGAAGCCGAAGATTGTACTGCATAATTATCAACAGCAGCAGAACCATTAACGGCTCCACACTTTTATCAATCTAAACGCATTCCTCAATATCCCTCCTATTCCTCTTTAAGCATGACAAAAATGTCAGTCCTTAGTTAGGCTTTTGCAAAAAAGTTTGAAATCACACCACGCATGATACTATTCCGCGAGACCGTGCAGCATTAAGCAGATGGGTAAGAGAAAAAAATGTTTTAGTGCATGTTCTCTACAAATTATTCTGGAATTTATGGGGCATCGAAAATAGGTGGGAGAGTTTCATGCTACTTAAGTGGCCGTATTTTAGGGAATATGGTTTACACAGGCGGTCGATAAGGAGCTCGCCGGCATCCTGACGTAACTGGGATATCTTCGTACTATGACGAATGATAATTGCTTAACCTACTTAAGTGGTCTCCTCGGATTGAATATACATTTCAGAATTCCGGTTAACATTTCGTGAGGTAGCACATCTACTGTAAACTGTCGTGCCGAACGGTTCCTGCGACATCTCGCCAACGATCGTTATTAATTCCTCTGTCAGACTTTCATTTCTGTCTGAAAGGTTTGAGCCTGGAGTGCATCCTCCAGGTAAAGAAACTTGTAGTGCCTCCTTTCGGTAGCAATATTTTCAGGTTAACCAAAATATTTCCACGAAGTACAGTCACGAAGGAAGAGTTCGACACGAGCTCCATACCCTTCGAATATCCGATCGAAAAGTGCAGTTACGTTTTGAGGAAATAGTAGCACACGCCGCACTTCATGAAAAACATTCCCTAGGAACATTTGATGGAATTTCATGTATATCCCCTCATTTTTCTGTTGTATATAGGATACTGAATATTAGCTGCCTCCGACAAAAGTAGTCTTGTTTCCGAGGACTCGTGCATGCAATTCTGTTGGGGCACACATTGACACGAAAACCTCCTAACGCTTGATCTTTTAGTCTTTTTACCTCTGAAAAACTACTGCATAACTAAGCGGAATTCCCAAGAACAGACTGCTTCTAACTATATTATGGGCGTCGTCGAGTTCAGGTCCAGAGACGGTTCCAAAACTTTGTTTCAATGCCACAAATACTCAGAGTCATTTTTGAGAGTATCTGCCAGTGAAACTGATCCTTTTGGCATTAGTTCCTTTTTGTAATTGTACCGCCTGAGGCAGTATACTGACAAGCAATAGTTTGTAAACTGGATGAGTTTTGTTCCTGAATCTTGTTAAAAGTGTTCAGCCGTTGACAGTTGTTCAGACCGAGATAGGCACGCATTTGCGAATGTTGTTCAAACTGCCTACTTTAGTTGCTGTCAGCCCACGCCGATTATCCACACCAAAGGGTGAGAACAGCGGCTTTGTTCAGCCGGCCATTTATTATCTCCACTAGTTTACGCTTGTTTCTTCCGGGACTAGATTTTCCTGCTGTGCGTCTGTAAAATTTCGAGAGAGGTTGCAGCTTGGGATCTGGCACATGACACCGGCTAATCCATGATCCACGTGAATCTATTCAATATTGCAGCTTTTGGTCAATGAGCGACGCCCACGCCAATATTCATGAAAATGTCTTCTGCCGTCTGAGGTGTATTTCTGATATGCGACTTTGCTGAAGATCAGCCGGTATTGTTTACGACGGTTCGGAAATAAGTTATCGAATACTGTTAGTACGTGTATTTCCACAATTGCAACCGAACTCCGAAAATATCGGTTTCACATTCAGATGCATGTTCTCAAATGCTTCCAAAGGGGGGAGGGCGATTAAGCATTAGGACTGGTATGCTAACATTAAACGTTCTGACGTGTCTTCCGGAGACTTTTATGTCGATGTATACGATTTTGTATAGCCAGTGCAATTTTTCAGCCCACAGACGTTTACAATTTCTGTTTCGCACTGTCCCTATAAAAGGTCAACCACATACCAAACTGCGGACTTCTAACTAACAAACTCGGTATGTTAATGAGTCTTCGACAGTATGAGTATGCCTGCCGAAATTCCTCTACGGGTGTTAAGAAGAAGTTCATTCCGATGAAGGACTTCGTCCCAGAAACCTACTGCATCGACGATGCGCGGGATCGCGTCCAATTTCTTTCAATTCTGAGAGGTCAGCTTCTTAAAAAATTGAATTACGGTCTTTTTTAATCCGAAATAAATTTCCCACCAGCGGGAGGCCTTCAGAAAGGGAAAGTGGTAGTCTAATTACGTCTAAGACTCGGCCAACCCGTCTTGGTTATCTAAATTATCAATACTTGATAGAGATGCCATAAGTGGATCATTGTGGATGTACTGGAGGTAGATGGACGCGTGAAAGCCTAGAAATTTCCCAGGGGAGTTAGTTAAATATGTCACATCTGGACGTTAACAGGATGCTTGTGTACACCTCGTCTCGACTACATGAATAAAAAGACAAATTATTTAGCACTTCAGACCGTCTGTTTGCTCTATTAAACAGTTTTGTTTTTTTGTACATGCTTCCCTATAGGCGCTGCAAAAAGCTCTGTATGAATATAAAACGTCAGTTAATTCTTCATCTTCGGGCTGTTGTATGGTAGAACGGTCGGGCATATGCATCCCCTTTCCGGTGCTACAGGTGGCATCACGTTAAATTCCAGGGAGGGTCCTATTCCCGTGTCCTAACTTTAACCCTAACTCCAACCCTTACCCTCATAAACCTAAATCTAACACTGGCCCGCCTAACCCTTATCCTATCATGCCTAACTTTAGCCCCACTAACCTTAAACTCAACCTCTACCCCAACCCCCACTAAGTACTGCGGGTAGCCTCGCGATAAATTCCAGGGGGTTCCTATTCCTGTGTCCTAACTTTAACCCTAACCCCAACCCTCCTAGCCCCAATCCTAACACCAAGCCTGGCTCGTATGCCCCTGGAATTCAAGACACAGCGACCTTTTATACGTGGGGTGGGGGAGGGGGGTCAATATCACTGTGCCCAACAGATAGAACTGCATAATTGAAGTCTACATTACACTTTTCGGCCCGGTAATCACTCCGGCATGTGTCCAATCTACTAGTTTCCTGACTTGATCCTTATGACCCGTTTCATGTGACAATTAAGCTCCCCAACGGAATGGAAAAAAATAAATCCTTATATAAAGATATCGGAAAGGAGCTCACCTTCTGGTACCAATGCTAATATAACTAAATCATCACACACCAATACTTAATACGGTTTTTTCATTTCTTTTTCTGTCGCAATTCTGAAAATGCTTTTGACCAGACTGTCGTTCACGAAGACTCTCGGATAATCCTAGGTAAACCGTGAAATGGTCGAAGTTACCATGGTGAATACGGTTAAATTTAAGGTTCTCAGTCGGCGTTTTTTACTGATTAAATCGATTATCTGGGGACTACAATAGCTGCCAACGTCAGTCAGTTTATTGTAATGCTGTGAACGAACTTACATCCCGTTTTGACAGATGGTCAAGTATGGATCTACAAGCCAAGTGGGATGAACCAAGGCAAAGGAATCCAATTGATCAGGGGAAAAGCTGATTTTGAAAAGCTCCAAGAAGACTGTGTGGAAGAGTGGCGTCGGAATCCAGGTTCTGTTCGACCACGCATACTTCAAAGGTAATTGGAATTTAGGTCAATTGATAGTTGTTGCATGCATTTCTTGGCGTATGTCCTAGGCTGATTCCATGATCGAATACTTATCGCATACGGGTTGAGATTTCGGCTTCTTCGTATATTAGAGTACTGCTTCACATACAATACTCAAAATCTCAATGGTAAGGCATGGGAGAAGTCCGGTGTCAGAGGAACTACACCTCCGGAGCGGCCTTCATTAAATTTGCTGATTTTCCGTTAAAAGATACTTTCCTGAAATTCTTGTGTTTATATCTTTCGATCAAAGGTATATCGACAAACCCCTGCTGCTAGACGGAAGGAAGTTTGACATTCGATGTTATCTACTCATTGTCAGTTCAATGCCCTTCCTGGTCCTCTTCCATCCTGGCTATGTTCGGGTCTGCACACGCAAATACGATGTCAACAGCCCCGACCTCCTAGTGCACCTGACCAATCAGGTAGGATTATGGTTATGCCTCTATCAACCTTTTTAGCTGTTGTATTACTACAAACCCTCTAGATAATCGGACCCTCCGCTTGCGATTTTTACAGTATATCCAGAAGAAGGATCCAAACTATTCCAAGCTCAAAGAGGACACGGTTTGGAGCATGGACCGTTTCAACGAATACATTAATGCCCACTATGTTGAAGAAAAGAAGATTGAGAAGGATTGGGCAAAGACGACACTCATGGCAAGTTACCTGCACATAATTTCATGACTCGGAAGAGTTCTGACTTTTGCTTTCAGTTTCAACTTTACCTAATTTTTCAGCAAGGTAGATCGGGATTTCAGGCATTCTTTGTAAAGAGAAAAGTGTCAAACCTTCCTCTATGAGAGGCGCTCCCAAAACTATCATCCGTAGTGACTTTAAAATCAATGTTGCCGCAATTTTCTCCTTTGTTTTAGGAGGCCAAAGACGCGTCGGACATATATTTTTGGTGTAACTCTTGAGATTTCCTAAGCATGATTCGATAAAAGATGTCGACGCAGTATCAGGAGACATCTGAAAGAGGTATTAAACATGCTATGATAGGAATTGAAGCTCCGGCCCCGGGAGAAACTGTTGCTAGGTTAAATAATACTTTTAAAAACTCACCCTACTTCCAACACATGACGGCTGACTTGCCAAACCCCTTGGCGACTAAGGGAATCTTTAAGCTCGACAAATAATCCGGATGAAATGGTTTTCTTGTGACAGGTAATAATTAAAACCTAACTTTGTTTATGTACAGAACATCCATTCTCTCGAAAGGAACGTCGGTGTGCACAGTTTACATCACTCCGGTGGCTGGTGCTTAAGAATAATTTCATTTGGAAACAGTCGTGAACAGTTTACCTGTTCATGCTTTGCAGCGAGTCGTACACCTTCACAGCAACCCAGCCTATCATCTCGCGTTTTCCACTGGAGGAGTCGGATAATCTTTCCTCATTGGAAACGGTTGGCGCAGGTCTTATTTGCTAAACCCATACCGGATAGACATGTTGACCAAGTTGTCAGGCCATCAGACATATAATAACCAGGTGAAGTCTTAGTCGGAAGTCTAACAACTCTTAACTTAGTCGGCTTCCGAAGGAAGCACCACCCAACCTTTATACCCCAGTGCAGTGCTCAGAACTTCTAAAGTCGGCATGCTAACAGCTAACGGCTGACGCTATGGCAATGGATGATACCTTCGCCGTCATCAAACGGTATCAGGCGCTCGCATTCAAAGAAGGTACCAACGCCGTCTTCTCGGACATTCAATCTACCATGGAAAAGGAGGTAAACAACCAGCTGGCCTTCCTGGATGTTTACGTTTGCTACAAAGATTGTGGTGGCCAAAAATAGAGTTTTCAGGAAAGCTACAAATATGACGCAAGTACTGAACTACAACAGTAACCACCTGATCAGCCACAAAGGAAGTTGGGCAAGGGCGCTGTAACGGCACGTTGAAAGTCATTGCAGTGAAACGGCAGACAAGGTTGCTCAATTACAATATTTTCGACTACTACTGAGAGCTACTGGCTACCCGCGCAACTTTGTCAACCAGTGCATATGCAAACGGCACAAGAGACCAAATCCGACCCAAAATTTTGGTGAGCTCTTCCATGCGTAAAGAACGTCCCGCAGTCAGTTGCCTTCTCAACCCACTTGGTTGCACACAAACCGGATGAAGCCAAAAAGCGCCAGGTCATGAGGCCGAAAGACCCACTGCCACAGCAGGAAACGTCCAGAGTTGTTTACCGGATCTGGTGCGGTTGAGGACAGAGTACGTCGCAGAAACTGGGAGATTACTCCGGATGCGGATGGCCGGACATCTAAGCAGCAGTGAGGAGGAAGGACGATAGCTCTCGGGTGGTGGCTCATGCGACGGGACCTGGCCATATTTTTAAGTCTCAAAGGGCCGAAATCCTCTAAAGGGGTGACAACCTCGTGAGCAGTGACTTGCTCAAGCCATGGTTCTCAGGCCTGCAATCCATCAATAAGCGCAATGACCTTTAGTTACCATATTCGGTGCTGAGACTTTCCTAGGCAGGGGAATCGGTCACATGAGGACGGCTCGGGCAAGCAACAATTTCAGTAACACCGAGCCAAATTGCAGAGTTGTCATCACGCCAACATCCGATACGGACGATGAAATCGCGGCCATTAACGACTCGTACGGGGACTGACGAGCTATCATAGGTGGTCGCGAGAGCTGTTAGTTATAGGATGCATGCGTGCGGTCCCAGGGTAGCTACGTCCTATAAATACTGCACTTTTTGTGCCTTCTGCGACTGTCTCCGATGGTGTGCTAGAGTGAGAATCTGAAACATCAGACCAATAAACCTCTTGTTCCAGTGTTTGCATCTTTTTCTTCTAAACTGCTTCCTGGAACTTCCCAGTTCGCTTCTATCGGCAGTTAATCTTATGATTCGGATGAACTACAGATGCAGCCTCCCTTTCCAACATAAATGTATATTTAGGATCCCCAACTATATTGGAAGAGCCGTCACATATATTTAGACTCTCCGACAAGGTAGACTGAAGTACGGAATTTGGCTACAAGAGTATAGTATGCGTCCACTGTGGTAATTGTAGCATGTAAATGAGGCTTGGTGGTTCGAAAATGTTTCGCAATGCAGCACGACATTTAACTATGGTTGCTCAATTCAGATTACTTGATATAGGCGTTTTTTACGCAGTGATTCTTGAATTCCTCAAACGCATATGCTGCAGAGAGCGTTTGGAATATCAGTCCGGAGGTTGTTAGTTGGTCAAAAAGTTTGCTCACCTTGCCACGAAGTTCGCATATTCTCTCCCCTTCCTACCTTTTCTTATCATCTACATCCCCTATTCCTCTGGGCAGCCGATACACGGCTTATATTAGTTAATTTAGCTCTACCGGAGCCAGTGACTCAGATACATCTTAGATAAGAATAACTTCCCGTTAACGTTGAGAATCCAAGACTCGCAGAGCCTGAAGCGGACTATAAAGTCCGCAGGAATCGATGCGTTCGGGCCTACAACAACGGGTCGTATACCTAGTTTACAAACTGTCATTCTTTGTCCAAAAAAGGGAGTCAGCGCTGTCTAATGGAACGTGCACATCGTCAGTTACCATGACATATAATACCCAACAATATCCGCTCTCACTTCCTGCGGCATTGGCAGTCAGCTTGCCTGACTTTGGCACGAAAGTGATCAGATTGCCAGGATCCGACGTCGTCTGCCATCGCCATTGCGTTGCAATCGTGCCCTACCTGAAGACGAATAAAGAGGACAAACTTGTACCTTCCGCGTAGCCATATAACTATAACAGACACAATTGCCAACCTAAATGTGGCTACTGACTGGGTCTTCACCTTAAACGCAGAGGGCGATGAGGAGAACGAGTCTTACAACAAACTTTATGGGGGCCTTTCTTGGTCCCTTCCAGAAACATCAGAATTTTCGCGGAGACTTTGAATGAGAGTCCCGACAGGGCCGACCCGACAACCAGCAATGTTCTTCACATCGATAGTCATGCGATAGTCGTGCGACAATGACGACCGATTATCGCTTTGAAGGGTTTGGAAAATACCAGGTTTCAAGTGCCGGCGAATAGCTTGTTGGGTTGATGTCCAAATAACAAGTGGACTGCAGCGCATACTGACTGCGGAGAAGACGCAAATTCTGAAGCGATGGGCCGAACACTTCCGAGGCATCCTCAATCGTCCCCCGACATCTCCGACGTTGCCATCGCCCGTCTGCCTCAGGTGGAGACCAGCGCCGACCTCGACCTCGCGTCCTTTCCACACGAAACCATCAGGGCTGTGCGTCAGCCCTCCAGCGGGAAAGCGCCCAGATCGGACGCGATCCCTACTGGGACCTACAAGCACGGTGGCCCCCTGCAGATCAACTCGGCCAACTGGGAAGACCTCGTCCGGAACCGATCGACCTGGCACAGAGCAGTGAAGACCAGCGCAGGGATCTATGATGCCAGCCGCATCATCCCCGCCAAAGCCAAACATGAAGCTTATAAATCTCAACTGTTTCCGCCTCGCAACGCCGACAAATAACCATCCTGACCCGCCCACCATGCCAGCAGACGCATTGGACACCAACTGGTCTCATTGGACATCTTCGAACCAACTGCAGCACGCGGACGTCACCACCCGATGTTCCCCCGTCCACCTCTGCCTCGCCCCCCACGCCGACAATTAACATTGACTGCACCCCTGAAACCCCACTGCCATCCTCCTCCGTCGCCTCAACATTCGCTGCGACGGCTCCTGCACCCCCACAGCCACTGCACTTCCTCCTAACACACCGACAAGCATCAACCTCACCACCTCCAACACCATTGATGTGGAGTCGGTCCCTACTTGTCCTCACTGCGATCGCACCGTCATCTCACACATCGGCCTAGTCGGTCACTTGCGAATGCATCGTACGGAGACTGGCGAACCAGTGCCTGGAGCACCAACGTACACCCGACACAGCCGACTCAATTGCCCTCATTGCACCCGCACATTCACTCACCGCATGGGTCTTCCAGGGCACACGCATGTCTACGAAAACCTACGATGGAAAACGGCCGACTACACCACATCCTCCCCCACCTAAAACAGCATCCACCACAACCATCCAACTGCCACCTCCCACACAGGTGGGGAGTGTGCGTCCCGGTTCCATCTTCTTGCGGCTTCTCTGCTGCATGCGTGATTCCAGTTTGAGACAATCACGGTGCGTCAAGCGCCGCGGCTCGGAAGGCTGCTGACTGACGCCTCAAATCAGCCCACGCATCTGCCCAGTTATGTATTTGTATGGGTTTGCGGACTGGTAGGCCGAGAGCCGGGTTGAAATGGTTCCTTCTTAACGTGGCCTATGGCACGCTCACGCATGTGAGATGTATGCCGCCCAACCCCCGTTGTCTGAAATCATGACGCTTGTGTTTGGGGGGTCAGGTCGTGCATGTGGCGTGCGCAGACAAGGTGGCTAGATATGTCAGCCAACGCGCCCATCCCCCGCGCCTATCAAATGATCAGTTGGACAGTGACTGGAGCCTGGGAATGGGAAGAAAGAGTGTTCGACGACTCAACGCATTTTTCTCATTATAGACCATCTGATGCGCTTGAAGTTGCCAGGGGACACTAGAAGCTGTGGCTTAAAAGGTTGTCAACTGACGGGATTACTCGGACCTCGCAGTCGGTCCAGTGTTGAGTGTTTGTGGAGCAGCTAACTGGTGGTCTAAGAACCAGGTTGCAATGCTCCTTCTTAATGTTGTCTTTATGGCACTCCCACTTCTTGGGATCCGAGCCAGGTCTGACGGCACGTCTAGGTGCGGCTTCGGCCGCGCCAGCCCCCCTTGTAATTGTTGGTTCAAATCCCGGTCATTTGCTGTGTGGACCAGGGGGTACGGAGTGGGGCGCCAAGATGTGGGCTCGACCGTGCCATCCACCTGTGCCCTCCCACGCCCCCCGGTCTTCTCGACTCTGTCTTGACACCAGGTCCTGGTGGGGGAAAATGAGAGAGTGCCGTAGATGCTGCGCAAGCTTGCACTCACTATAGACTAAACGATGCGGAAGTCGCCGTGTCTGCTTCACCTTGCTGAGGAGCACACGGTGGACATCGTCGGACGTGATGGTCGAACTGTTAGTTAAGCCTATGCACAGACTCAGCCAAATCCGATAAACGTGGGTCATGAACTCACGTGACCCCTGTTTAGGTTCAATGCACCTGTAACGCAGCCGATTTGGAGGGGGGTGGACTGACAAACTGAAATTGAATGTCCAAAAAACCAAATGCTGTTCGGCGGCTATGTACCTGAAACAGTGTGACGCCTCTTTCCGGATATTAACATGATGGATATAGTCTGTTATTTCGTTTATCTCGGCCCCTCAATGCTCCCCGCGGACAAGTGTTAGGAGATAGGTTTTCACGTAGGACTCACACGCAGCTTGTTCTGCGACCTTGAAGTGCCTGTAGTCTTGCTTTAATATTCAGCTGCGTTGTTCACCTGTGGAAGTTCGAGATGTTTGATAAATCTTACCTCCCGCTGCAGGTCACGGAACACCTCTTGAATGTCAAATGCCACCTCTGTTTGGATTCACTGACTGCTGACAGTGCAATCGGCCGTAGCTGACTCAGATGGTTTGATTACGCCCTTACGCGACCTGCGATGCCGTCTGTCCTGACCCCCTGTCCAACGTAGTTTCAATGCCCCATAGTTCACTAAAAGATTAGTAGAGGTGCTTAAGTCAGATTTGGGAGATTGCTAGACCTGGCGGTTTTCGGTGTTCGTGAATGAAACTCCTATTGGGCAACAATTGGTTGGGGTCTAACCAAAGATTGCTAGAGAAGAGCCCCGCTGTTTCGCGACGAAAGCACACTAATCTAGCCTCGCTGTCGACCGAAGCAAATACCAGGAGTAAGTTGACAGGCGAAATCACTATGACCCGGTGGGGTTTGAGTAGTCTTGTTAAGTGCAGCCTCCGCTTCTGTACTTTAAGTTTAAAACACTTGATGTTTGCGTCTTTTTAGGAGAAGATGCAGAACATCGCACAGCACTGTTTCCTTATGGTAAAGGACAAAATTGCGTCAAGGGTTGGACTCTTCGAAATATATGGGATGGACTTCATGGTTGACTCGCACATGAATGTGAGAGGTTTGACTGTCTATCCCTCGCTTTTGTGCCGTTATATTTAAAGGGTGGGCAGGTTGACTGTACAAAGTTAACAAATATCTCAACTGCACTTATTTTCTTTAGATTATATTTCCGTTTGCGACAAAACAGTTAAGATCAGACATAACATGAGACGAAACTATACGCCTCCAGCATTTTACTTCATTTTTACATAGACAAAAAATAGTCCTAAAATTGTTTGACGTCCATGGTCGGATATAGTGGAGCAAACGCACCCTTAGCGGCTGTTGGTAGTTTTAAACTAACCCAAGAAAATATGTAACAAGCAGAAATTGCCTTCAAAATGTTAGTGTCGTAAGTATATTTAAAGGACTGCACATCTTCCGGGGTATCTGTCAGTGTTCTCTTCGTATATCAGGAGCGAGGGAAGGCGTGGCTCTCTCAAAAAAGCACTGACACGAAAGTGTGCAATTCTGTAGAAAGCTGAGGGACAGGTCGAACTTTCGCTATCACGCCGAATTCTCGCTGAAATATAATGATAGTGATAGTGTCGTTGTTGGTGATAGTGGTGGTGGTGCTGTTGCTGCTGCTGCTGTTGCCGCTGTTGATGGTAATTATGATGATTATAGTAATGGTAGTTGTGATAATGTTGACGATAGTGATGACAATATCGGCGATGGTGGCGGTGGTGACAGTGGCGACGACGACATTGCTACTCCTCCTCCTCCTGCTGCTGCTGCCGCTGCTGCTGCTTATGATGATGATGATGATGATGACGACGACGACGACGACGACGACGACGACGATGATGATGATGATGATGATGATGATGATGATGATGATGATGATGATGATGATGATGATGATGATGATGATGATGATGATGATGATGATGATGATGATGATGATGATGATGATGATGATGATGATGATGATGATGATGATGATGATGATGATGATGGCGAGGATAATTACGAGGCGGAGTATTGTGTAGCTGGGGTCTACTATTTACAACGATGCTGATAATTATGGTAATAGGAATCTGAATGCCCACGCGGGGCAGATTTAGTTGTTTGGCATACGTACGGGTCAAAATCCATGTTAAGGCTTGCCCAAGCGACAACATAGTGACGAGTATTTCGCTCCACTCGGTAATCAGGTCAGCTTTAGGTGATTCAGCAACGTAAACCGGTGAACTTTCACCCCGCAGCGCTGGTGGCAGATTCACCCCGAAGCGCCGGACTGCATTTCTGGCCAGCGAAATTAAGCTTGCACACTGGAAAATCTCCTCCTTGAGTCTTTAAGATCTTTGCTGTCGTTTTTTAGGTCTTTCTAATCGAAATAAACACGAACCCAGCGATGTCCACAAATTGCGAGGTGCTGAGGCAGGTGATACCGCCCGTGGTCTCGGACTTCATTGGTACGTCAAGTTGCCAGTCACTTGATTAAGCTGTTTTCCACCTACCGAGTTTTTGTCGGCCGAGCTTGAGATGACACTTCTGGTGTTCATTGTGTTTGGGAATGTCGGCGGAGGAGGTAGGGGCAATGACAATTACATTATTTCGGACAAAATATGCACCGTCAGATATTTTCGCTACTGGTGTCGTTGTCAGAATCCATGTTTTGACAGTCCGTGTCCTTTCCGTGCCTTGATCACTTCACGATTGAGGCTCGAAAGGCTGCCCGTTGACGTAATAACTCGGTTCTCCAGGCTGGGGACGGGCTACAATAGTACCTTTTTAATGTGACGATATGGCAACTGGCACCGATATGAAGTCTGAGGAAGTCAGGTTCGTTTTCTTGGAACCGAGAAACCAATACGTGTGGCAGACGCACAGGTGGAATACGTCTGTGCTCATTTATACTTGTTCTATTTTTTGATAAGTGAAACCCAAACAGGTTATGAAGAGCTAACGAAGTAGATTCTGTGCAAGCCTATCCCGCCATAATCCAACCTAGGTCTAAGTTACAGTTGGCCTCGTCAGCATTTTTAACTCCTGTGGTGTGATGCACGAGACTTAACATGTAACGCATGCGAATAATGTGGCTTGCACGCCCATCGGGCATAAAAAATAAATGTTAGTGGGTGCAAAATCGCCATCTTTGATAGTTTTCAATTTCGCGCGGTTTTATAAAATAACGCTAGCGCTGTCGAAGATAACTGACTTTGTGACAGTCGGACAAACCGCCTTTCCGTTTTGCCGTATCAGTAAATAGTGTCAACCTAAATATTTTTGCAGGCAATAGTAACTGCCTCTGCAGCAGCAATATGGACTCTTTCCCAACCTGTCCCCGCTGTGATCGTACTTTTACGTCACGCTTCTGTTTGGTCGGTCACTTGCCAATCCATCGCGCGGACGCCCCGACATACACTCGCCGCATGCTCCTCCTCTATCCGCACTGCCCGCGCACATTTACTTATTGCAGGGGCTTGTTCGGCCACATATGCATCTACGACAGCGGAATTCACCGCAATATCGACACACCAAGCACACCCTCCACCTCCGACAACTTTTTCATCTCCATCTTAATCAAGTCCCTATCGACTGGCGCGACCATCATTAGCAGCATCGCCAACATCGACTCAGTAGCTCCCAATCTAACCTGCCGATCTTGCCGCCGCATATGCACATCACGTCTCAGTCTAGTCGGTCACTTGCGAATCCATCACATAGAAACCGGCGAACCAACGCCTGAATAACCAACATACACCCACATTGCTCACTCACATTCAGTCACCGCATGGGCCTAATCGGTCTCTTGTGCATCCTTAAAAACTTGCGGTAGAATACCGCCAGTCAAAACCCGTCACTGCATATCTCCTCACCAGCACGCACACCACACCCAAACCCGTCCCTCATCCACCACAAGCATCGAATCGGCGGTTTCCATACAAGTGGTAATCGTGCTCTTTGGCTTCTCCTCCGTGTAGTCTCCTGCCACTCTAACACCCGTGAGATCCGACGAGTCCACCCTGTTGTGCGAAATCCCGATGTGCTGTGTGGGAGCCAGGTCGTGCGTGTGGACGGCGCAGTCGGACTCTCTAGCTCTGTTAGCCATTGTGCCCTGTCCCCGCATCAGACAACTGACTGGCTCGGTAAGTTGGCTGGTGCCTGGAAGAGGGAAGAGAGTAGGAGGAGGTCGATGCCCGGAGTATATTCCTCACTGTAAAAAATTAGACACGCTTGGTGTGTTAAAAAGTGTGATCTAGATGGCTGCCAACTGACCGTAAAACTCGGTTCTCTTCTCAGGGCGGAGAGTCAGGCGGCAATGGCTCCTTCTTAATCTAGTCTTTACGGCACTCCCACTCAGTTGGGATCCTAGTGGCCCTTCCCCTTTCTTGTTATGTGAAATCCCGATTCTTTGGGCCTAGACCAGTGGATATGATGGCCCACCTAGGTATGCGTTCACACCGCGCCAACCACCTACTCCCGATCCCGCCTCCGGTCTTCTTGGCACCGTCTTGACACCGAGTCCAGCAGAGTGAGGACGGGAGAGTGTGTTGGGTCAGCGCGTGTTTATTATCACTATATACTAATTCACACGCGCCTTTCTGTCCCCGCGTCTACCCTGCTGTGGGATACACGGCAACCATCGTTGGAAACGACAAACGGACTATCATAGTCAGGTTTTACTCAGATATTATTGAGATCGTACTCCTATTAAACTCAAATGCAGGCCACGATGACTCATTTTTAATTTGAATAACTAGACTTTCATACCCAGCCTCGTCACTTGTCCAGTCAATGAACCTGAAGCCTTCATAGGAATCAGCTTAAGAAGGCCTTTTAGCGCTATGGAGGCGCAGACCTCAAATGAGAGAGTAGATTCCTCGACTTGAGGGGAATTGTCTCCAACAAGGCCGCATATTACGACGAATTCGAGAAAATCGTTATTATCAAAGATGGGCAGGGATTGTGACGCTACAAAATACATACGCCATTCTCAATTAGGAACCCAGGGACTGTCTACCAATGTATGCCTTCGAAGACAACGTTTTCTGAAATTCACAGGCCTGTTGGGCAACCTAAATAGCAAACAGGTTTCTCTATATGTCCAACATTAGACGAGATTGGAGAGGGGAAAAAATACGAAGATGTGATCACTGGGACGGTAGGTTTATTAGTTTGAGCCTTCGAACTCGTGCAGCAGTCCACCATCAGAGACTGTGGCCTTTCCTTCTTCATATTGTTATTTATAGCACCAGTGGGCGAGCGGTCTTTTGCGTCGGATCGACATTTTTGTGTGAAGTAGAAACCGGGCGAGGTGCACCATTTAGGCATATACATGAACCAGAAAGTGAAAAGCCCCCTTAGCATGGTCAGATTAGAAAAATACGGTTTTGTAACAGAATAAACAGCGTCCGATCATCGACTGACACGGCCCTTTGATCTGAAGCTTTCTAACTCTAATCCTTCAAACAAATGACGAGTATTCCCTGCGCTTTTCAGCTTCTATGCTTTACTCTTATAACCCACTCTATGGACCCTCTAACCCTCGAATAGAACAACGAAAAACTTTGCTTCTGCAATTTCCCTGATTATTCGCATATTATTTGATATGTCAGCGGATAAAAGGTTGGTAAGTCAGACCTCTGGAGGCGGTGTCCTACTCCTGACTGACTGAAAAATGGTTCATCTTTATCAATTAGCTGTCAGATTGTCCTTTATTTACGAATTGTATTGGGTGAATGGGCGACTTCGCGGAACTCATCAGTAATTGTACTTCTTACTTTACATTGTAGATATCAGTGTCGAGTGTTTTGAAAAAGCGAGAAGATGGAAACCTCTTCTCCCACTACAGGGAATCACACCACTTCTGTGCGGCTACACTGAGTCCCAGACCAGTCAGCGCAGTTGGGTTGTCTCATTAAATCCCCTACTTAGTGATGAGGTCATTGTAAACTATGGTTTGCCACCTTCCTTCACCGTACTATACTACGAAACACTGGACATGGCGAAGAGTAGGAAGGCCGCCAGCAACGAGGTACCTCTGCGTTTGTGGACTTCCCCTCATTATCCACGACTGGATAATGGAGAGAATGTGAAGCACAAGGGAGAGAGTGAGAAGGTTAACGTTGTCAACCTTGCCTCTGCACCGTCGAATAACCCGGCGAAGTTGCTGCCCGCCAAATTCCCCGGTCAAATGGCTTCAGTCAAGCCAGTCAAGAGTCCATCGCCATCATCCCAACCACCCAAACCCAAGGTACTTACTCATGGTCCTTCAAAAGACTACCCGGGCCGTGTGCGCTTGGAGACGAAAGTACCACACAGCAGGTCGTCGCCTCTAGCGGCTCCCCGAACTCTTCTTAATGACATTGTACCCAAGAGCACTAATGTCAACTGTTCCCTTCTCATGTCAACACTACTCGACCAACTAGGACCTACCTACACTCCTAAAATATTCCCACCCGCATCGCCATGCGCCTTCCTGGTTGGGGAGGAAAATGAGGAGGATGGAAACCGAGCTCGTCAGAACTTGATGAATAATTCGACATCCGCGGAGAGGAGCAACGATCGGCGCGACGGGGTGTCAAACAACGTAAGTCTTAGATGTCGCAATCTGGCCAATCGGATTCTCGCGCCTATCACCAAAATTGAAGTAATCACAACGAAAATTCCTGGACAGCCCCCAAGACAAACCTCCCAGATGGATGGGCGCATGACCTCCTCGAGTCCGCTCTTTCAGAGACGGTGGGCAGATAGATTCAGTCAAGCGGTTTAATTTCTGTCAACAAACAATATGTTCCATTATTTCAAAAGTGAGTACTAATTCCTGAGTTACTGCTGTGTGCCTTTGTTTTAAATTCCTGTTATAAAACGTCAGCGTGGCCTTAACTTAACAGCTTGGGCACCTGTGATATGATCAAACTCTAAGTTTGTATAAGGCGTTTTATTGTTTTAAATCCAAATCTGGATTTAGCAGAAAAAAATGCGCAGTAAATGGTGCAACAGTTCTTTGTGAATTATGTTTATAAATGATTTTGATGACCACACCACGCGTTCAAGTACTTGGACGTGAACGAGTTTGATCGGTGATAATTTAAGACAAATTGTAAGCGACATCTTAATACCCCCCCTATTTTTGACGGCCGTAAAATCAAGCTCCTTGCACTCACTGTCTGCTTTTCAAATATTTGAGCAAACTAGGCACATCAACTCCCGAGCTTAATGCTGCAACTGACGAATGTTGTTTTTTTCCATTGGTAGAGGGAAAACACTATTCAGTGTCCACTTTACTCGGACTTCTGTGTACCTGTTTCAACACTACTACTTCTGTCGACCTTTCAAACGCAAAGTCCAGATTTCCGTTTTGTCGAGTAAAATTTATTTGCACAAAATGTTCATTTTTCCTTTTCTGTACTCATTTGCTGTGGCTGTATATACGCGATGTTTCATAAAAACCTAATAGGTGAGCCGGCCATTAGGTTGTGCTGTTAACTGCAAGCGCGCATATCATTTGCATAACCAACTAACTAATAGGCTGCAGCGGACCTGGACAATTATCCGCGACACCATGGGTCAGATGGAGCGTCTTACCTGAGGGCCAAACGCCCGGTGCTGGATTCCTTCACCAGAACCTTTCGCATCAGTCGACCACTGATTGAATGCTTGTGACACCGGGCAATAAATTTTTAAATTCTAGGATCTGTGGGACGCAGAATATGTGGCTACTACTGCCCCTTACCTCGGCAAATAAATGCTCTTTTTCTTTCGGTTGCATCACATTGCGTTTTAGAGATAGAGTATTGGTGTGTCCACGGCTAGATTGTCGTGGAACGGCCTCCGGAGATAACTATCCGTAAAACAGACAGGTTATAGGGTGCGACGGATAGGCAGTCATGGACCAGCAGCGACAGTACTACCAGGATGCGAAGGACCGAAGTCTAGTTTGCTGACTGCCTCATAAACTAAGCTAGAGCCCGTTGACGGCATTACGATACGGCGATCATGAATCGTAGCTAAATAAGTTTGCATGTCATTGTCGTCCTTTGGTTAAGTTTTTGAGCTTCTGGGAACCGACGTAGGCTCGAAATGCTCGGAAATTGCGCGAACATGTTCAATTTTAGTCGCACGATTCATGTTACGTCGTCCGAGATAATCGACATGATCTACGGCTCTGGCTCAGTGGTGCGTTCAAATCGTAAACGAGCTGAAGTAATGACTCACGAGCTGACCCGTAGTTTTGAGCGCTAAAATTTGCAAAAGCCCCTTGGCCTCGGTACTCGAAATCTGACTGTGCGCAGTATGTAGATGCTTGCTGTTTATCTGAATTTTGCACTCCTGACCCTGGCGCTAAGGTAATCAAAGTCCTGATGGTTCAATCCTGCTCAAATTGGCACTATACTACGGCATTCTGTGCATCTTTGATGAACACGATGATACGATGACAGCTCTAGGGACAGGCAAAGCACGCATCGCCTACGTGAGGACCAGTAGACGGCCGGCTAACTCACACGGAACTCTGTCGACACATACTGTTTCCGGCTGCCCCCCACAACCAGCTACCGATCGTTGAGGTAAAGAAAGCCTCTGCTCGCACCTCCAAGAACTGATTGAAAGACTTTTGCCACAATCTGTTTATTGTTGCCGATGCCTGAAATGGTCGGACAGGGACAGGCGACTACTCACACAATCACCTTATAGGCGGTTCTTAGCTTGGTTCTCGGCGCCACAACGCCGGAAGGGAAGTTCGGCTTTTTGACTAGAACCAGTCGATTGACAGTAGCAGGCGCCTCAAGCGTAAATGTACTGAATGACTGTCTGCGTAGTGAAGGGCGGCACTACTGCCAACAAAGCAGCCAAGATCGAGCCCCGTGTGTGAACTTTTCAAGCAGCCTCCCTATTTAAATGACTAACCCACCACCGTCACTGCCCTCTACCCTGCAGCGCAGTTTAATCATACTAAAGTCCATGTTGAGGTTTGTGGCCCTCATTCGCAAGAAGAAAAAGGGTCGGATGTGGTTTGGTAGCCTCACCTGAAGTAAGGAAACTCCAGTCACCTCTTATACGGGACCGGTGCTAATAGGGTTTTTTACAGGTGTGGTCGGGGAACGCACAGGCGACGAGGTCAAGTAGTCGTATGCAAAAGAAAAGCTATTGGGAATGCGCGGTTGTACTTTGAACGGGTGAGAAATAATTGCGCTAACCCCTAACACTAACCCTGACCCCTAACCCTTAATCCCAACTCCAACAATATTGTGTTCATCAAGTGGGGCTACCAAACCACATCTTACCAGAAAAAGAAGTCAATGTAATGTCCGAGGTTGTACAACGACAAGTCACCTGGGGGCGAGGGCATCCCACTAAAGCCCACAAGTCAGTTAGAGCCGTGGATCGGTAGAGCAACGGAGTGCTTGGGCAAGCATGAAGAAATGAGGTCGTTCCCGACGACTGTGGTTCGGCCATTTTCGTGAGGAGGGATAAAGACAAATCTAAGAGTTGTGGTGGGATACAACGGCCGTTGCCAATGTCGTTCACATTGACCTCAGAAGTTAAAACGTTGATTTGAATTATATCTGTGTCTGCGCTATGCAGCTGTCAAGAACGCCTTATATTCACAGACACAACTAAAAGGTGAAACAAAGGACTTGAGAAACCCACTCCGGTTTAAAAGTGGGGCAACGGCAGTCTCAAGAGACCTTTCTTGCGTCCACTACTGAAAATCTGTGAAAATCTCGAAGAATGAGATCTGGCGTTTTCCTATGACTTGTCATTGTATGATACCACTTTAACGACCTTTGTAATCAGAGGCCTTTGATGGGCTTATTTTCCTCATAAAGTCACTTTCTGTTATATAAGCATCTAGCCTGCCCAAAAATACGTCGATATGAGGCTAGAGCAGAGCTTGATTGAAGGTGAGGAAAGCGAGGGGTCGGCACAGCCTGCGGAGGAAGAATAAGGGTAGAAGACATCGCCACTGGCGTTGATTATCTTTTTGCTGGTATCTACTCACAAGCAGTTAAAGCTTGCGTTATCGTCAGGAGAGTGTCAACCGAGGTGCATGCGCCTGAACTTCGTCCGGTGGCGGCCAATCGGTGGAGAGAAAGATATCGATCGACGCCACGGCGTCGCGAGCCGGAGGTTGAGTCACGCGCGTACTCATTGGTTGTCAGGTGGACCGAAGAGACATTTGCAAACGGTGGGGCTGACGGCCGTGAGAGCGGACAGCTACAGAAGTTCAAATCGACCGCAACGTGAAATGCGTCATAGAGGCCGCTATCGCATTACACACTGTCGTTGGGGTGGAGGATAAAGGCAAACACTGAGTAAAGGAAAGTTGACCTTTATGGCAACCCGGGGCGCACACTCGCATTCGACGGTGGAAGGAAGGGAAATGTCCAACAGCTAAAATGAAAGCGCCTGTTTCATATAACTGCGAGCTACCCACCACCTTTCTTGGTGACCATTGCAAATGTGATCATTTCATGGAAGAGAGAATGTAGTCACATAAGAAGGGTGTTTTACATACCCCTGTTACAAGAAAAATTTTTGGGCATTTAAGAATCGTCAAATTTTGAAACGAGGATATATTATTTATCAGGATCCTGGCATTTAAAAACGTTTTAAGGAGACGTGCAGTTTGCCCGCGAAGTATGGAAAGAGGAAGTGCAGATTGACTATTCCCATTCAGCCGAGGGGAGATAAAACATGGACTTTGTCATGAAGGTCTTTGTCATCCTCATGCCTAGGCGGATTTAGGACGTGCATCACTTGAAGACAAAACAACCACACTGGGTTCCGAGCTGGTCCTTGATGCACAGACCAAATATTCACACGTCAGCACATTGTGCTAACAAAATTCAGGGCTCTGGTCCGGTTATGCTACCACTTCATCCGTGCTCGAGCTCTGGCCCATAGCAGCATATTCACACCGTTCGATATTCGATCTGGCATCCTACAATCTTACCTTGTCTCGCTCGTAGTTTAACTACCACCAAGAGGTTTCGACGGCGTCGAATTCGTACCCGAATGCTGGCTGACTAGCATTAACTACACTGAGGAGATCGGTCTTCTAGGGTGAAGGCGGAATGAACCACAGTGTAGTGTGTTGGAACTGGATGGATCAATATATCAATTGGTCTACCCATCATTGCTAAGAAGTCTAGTATTTTCTAAGTGCAAACACAACCGGAAGAATGCATCCCTCCGAATTAATTGTTGTTCACTTGAGTATTCGGGTTTTTCGAACACCCCGGGATGATTTGGTTGCCAAATTGACGGAAGGCGTGATATCGTCGACCAAATCCATGCTGCCCCTGGATTTTCACAATCCTTAAAATGTGTGTGTATGGATCCGCCGCGACATCTACATCATCAAAAAGATCCACATATACTGGAAATCTGTCCTATCAGTTCCACCGTACGGCCACGAACGCTGGGCTATGCCCTAGGATGACAAACGAACGCGGAGGGAGCTCGAGGGAGACCCCAAAGGCGCGACGGGGCGAATAAGCTCCGTAGAGCGCTTGGTGAGCGCCCCTCTGTCATTGTGTACGTCCGAACGCAGCCGACAAGACAACGAGCCCGCGGCTCAGTGGTCAGGACGTTGAATTTCTAACCCTAGGGGTTGTACACCTCAGGATAGGGTATAGCTGGTTAACGAGGAATAATATGCCAGAAGTGGCCAATCCAGTCTCTCTTGTCTTTGTTGATTATGTTTTTTTGAACAGAGACTTGGGAAACCATCATTACCTGAGAGCCATTTTCGAGTGGAAAGCACCGACTTGGTTACGAATGAGACAGTCTGCACTGTCTGCCAAGGTATCATGAGGATATCTTATGCTGTCCAAGAAAAACAGTCGAAGTTGTTTGGGCACGTTCTTCGTTGTCAATCCCATGACTTCAGTGCTGCTACCCGCCTGGAGGCTTGGAAGCGGTCACCTCCATGTGAGGGTCAGCACAGTTTGTTAAGTCATGAGGGTGGTTGCTGACCCTTCTCTATTCCGTCTCTATTGCTACAGGGGAGAGCGGGTCAAGTTTTACAAATCCCTAGCCGTAGCTCGTCATGCATGGAGGGGTGCAATTCGGGACACCGAAGTGACCGGCGAGATCTTGTCTAATCGAAACGGTACCCGATAAAAGGGATGAGGGACGCTGCGAACTTCTATACACAGTTACTTCAGACAAGAAACCACTCTCAAGTAGGGAATATTCTGCGACAATAGGTGACATACGGAATTCATGCAAGGGCGAGATTGGTAATGATGCGTCAGTATCGAGGGTTGGTCGACCAGCACCGGCCCAACTTGAAGATGAGGCCATAAATCTAACAACGCAGACGCTCTCGCACGAATATGGCACAGCGAAGAGCAAAACAACAGCATTGAATCTGGCTGGAATCAGTCAGAAAATCTCCAGCAAAATGAACACCAATCTGGAACAGATTTGAACCACAGAGAAGGAGCATCGTGAGCAGAATTAAGAGGGACTACGGAGTGTCATTTCTGCCACCGCCGCCTAACTGGCCGGGCCACGTATTGAAACACTGGGACTGCTTCGCTGACAAACACGACGAAATTCAGGAACTGATATGTGGAGACTAAGGCAAAGCTCAGTCGCCTGTTCTCCCCGTGGGAGGCAGTCAGAGCAGTGTAGCATATGTCCAGTGGAAAAGTCACGACCATGAACTCCTTTTCCACCAGGATATACAAATACTATGTCCCGTAGCACATTTATGAATTTATCTTGTTGGTCAGGATTTGGCGATAGCGAAACACAGAGGCTTCAAGAACGAATTTGTTGTTCACCTGTACAAATGCAAAAAAGCCTACAAATCTGCGAAAGAAATCAGATTCAGTGAACGTATGTTTTCAATATTTCAGCATCGAGCTTGTACACATACAAATAAAGTCCGGTAAAACAAATAAATCTGAAAACAGCCAATGAACAGTAGACATGAGGGAGAGGGTTGAAAGGGCATAATCGCATTTTTGGATCCCGATAGGCCATCAGCACCGCAAGCTGGGGCAAGCTGTAAACACCAGTGATGGAATTCACGCGTCTCGAGTGCTTTACGCTGGTGGTCGTGGAAATTTACTGCGAAATGATAGGACGTTTCACGGAAAATGGATCAACATGCACGACCTCCGTAACAAATGGGACGAGTCAGGGTTGCTTCCTACGCTCAACTCCCTTCGGCTTCATGCGTTTTTATGATGCTGATGGACGCCTATCGACGGAATAGACCAGACAGCGTTAACTATTCCTCGGCAACTGCAGCTGCGATAAAACGGCCATCTCTTGTGAATGGAAGATAAAAACCTGTCTGGGTGACTGTTTTACGGAGATAACGCTCACGGACAAAGCGGACAATCACAGTGCTACAAGGATATCCGGTCTCACTTAGAGTATGCAGTCCAGGCCTGGCGACCGTGGTTGAAGAAAGATTATTAACGACTGGAAAGAGTACAGGCGATGGCTATGAAGATGGTCAAGAATCTTCATCATCTACCTTAGGAAACCAGGCTGACTGAACTAAATCCGTTTCCTCTAAATTACAGGCAACTGCGCGGCGATCTCATTCAAACCTACAGGAGTGTCAGAAGCCGTGAGTGCGCCCTAGACTTTGATGAATTCTTCAGATTGTCCGGGACTGACCATCTGAGTGGTCATCCGTTCAAACTGCAGAGGAAGCTGACTCATTCGGACGTCCGACGGAACGCCTTCTCTCACAGGGTCATTGGGACATGGAACGGACTCCCTGATGCGGTGGTTCTTTCCGAAACTGTCGAATCCCTTAAGTGTAGACTAGATGCTCATTTGCTGAGAAACTACTGTACATATAATCACGACTCTTTTAGCAGCGGCAGTTTGCGCCTGGCTCACACTTACCGCTAACTTTTGAATTTCCGCATTCGCTGATGTAATTGATGATTCTATTTCTGTTTATCGATATGAATAGGGAGCTCAAGGGCGAAAGCCTCATTCCCTTAATAACCTGACTAAACTGACTGAAGAACACCCGCAAGCACTTTCAAATCAATCCGAAGACATGAGCTAATCTCGTCCAGGACCGACAGGTCTGGGGCAGCAATCTATGAAGTAAACAGGATTGTCACGACTTAAGCCATAGGGACGGCTTGCAAGTCCAAAACGCCTCCGACTCACAACGCCAGCATCCAACCCCTTCCACCATGCTCACGCACTCAATCGACATTCCGTGCACCGATCGGCCTCGTCAGACACCGCCCGTACTCAGGGCATTGACAGACCTACAGCTCCATCTGCTGCCTCTGCAGACCCCCCATCCTCACCCCTGCACCAACCTTACGACGGTAAACACCACCACAATCACCACCACCGCCGCCGCCGCCGCCACCACACCACCACCACCATCACCACCACCACCACCACCACCACCAGAGGTGATCACGCTCCTGATGCCAAGACGCCTCGGCCGATGTCGTCGGTCAAACATCTTTATAATCCATGCCACAACCCTGCGATGACGACTACCACCCCATCAACCCCCACCACCGACGAGAACGCTCCCGGTGCTCCGTAATCCCCTACCTGCACCGCCGCCGCCACCATCCACGCCGCCGACCCCACTACCAACAATGTCAACTCGATCACAACCTGTTCCCATTGAGGTGGCACATTGGCCTAACATATCGGTCTGGTCGGTCACTCACGAATTCGTCGCGCGGATATTGACGAATCAACGCCTGGAGCCCCAACATGCCCCACCGCACCTGCCTCAAGTGCATATACTACCCACTCACATACGGTCACTGCATGGGCCTACCCGGTCACATGCGCACTCATGAAAACCTGCGGTAAAATGCCGCCGATCAACTCTCATCACGACTTATCGCGACAACGCACACGTCACACACGAACCCGTCTCTCATTACCTATCACAAGCACGGAATCCGCACTTCTCACTCAATTGCGAATCATGCTCTTTGGCTCCTTCTCCATGCGACCCCTGTACTACATGTGAGATAGAATTAGTCCACTCATTCGTGTGAAATTCTGGTGTACTGTTTGCGAGGGAGCATATCGCGTATGAGACACGCGCAGATGAGCTCTTCACCGCTGTCTGCCACTGCGTTTAATCCGCGCATCAGACAACTGACCGCCTGGGACAGTGGGCTGATGATCGAGAGTGAAAATGGAGAATGAGGTCGACGGTCTCACTGCATATCCCTCACTATAAATAGTCTGACGAGCCTCTAAACCGCCACGGTGCACTAAACCTGCGGCTTGGAAGACTTTCAACTGACGGGATAGTTCGGTCCTGTTCTAACGACTAACAGTCAGACTGTAATAGCTCCTTCTGAATGCGATCCATATGATACTCCTAACCAGTTCGGTCTGGAGTCGCCCTTCCCCTTTCTTGTTGTGTGAAATCCTGCTCCTTCATGCACGCCGACAAGCTACTGCAAGGAGAAATAACTAAGTAGATAGAGGCGCAACAACGTTTCTCTAAAATTCAGGATGTTCTCACGTATATGACATGAGGTAGGGTGGAATCCCGTCCCCTCGTTTTCCCATGAGCCGAGGGATGTCCGCCTTCCTTGTGGCTGACCGTACGCACATCCAGTTCCGTTCGAGTTCGACGCCAGTAAATGTCGAAAGCGTATCGAGACCGGCTTTGTAATACATTTTGACGGTGATGCAAATCCGAACGACCGAACCGGGACCTGCTTAATTCCTTTTCATCTCCTTCCCCACCTCTTCTTAACACTATCCTCAATCCGCACTCCCTTTAAGCCAGTTTTAACGGCATGAACAGTAATGTAAAAGAACTTAGTATAGTTGCTCAGCGGTGTTAATAAAGTAGTAGAAAGTGTGGAAACGTACAATTTCTTAGGAGGGAACCGAAAACAGAGCGCAAATATTGTTATAAATGTAAAAAACATGTATATTCTTAATATATGAAGGCAAAAATGTAGGCGTCAAAACTGCGCGGGCAAGTGCCATCTAGACGAATTTACAGTATGGAGGTGTGGATGGACCCCGACCGTACGACTTGCTGGTGTCGTCTACAGAAAATGTTTGGAGTTACACACAAAGTTATGGTAACTCACCATTAAAAGAACGGCCACCAGTTGGTCGGTGTTGGCGCTTGCGGAGACGGTCATGGGCCTTTTTAAGAGCCTTTTTGAGGGCCTCCTCCAGTTGCTGACGATCTGCACTGTGATCAGCATTCCAGACGTTAAACACATCTGCATTTCAGTTGGTGAATAAACGTGCAGTAAAGGACGTACCGAGAATAACGTCATACACTGTGGATCCGAATAGGGCACGGGCCCCCTTTCGCCTTCCGAGGAACGTTAGGTGGGATGTGATTTCATCTGAAAATAGTGCACAGAATATTCGCTCAGCAAATAGTGGCGTTCCGTCTCCACCGAATGTGGTCAAATACGACGTCTGGGATTTCCGTTTTATTACGCAAAGTCAGTTACCACTTGCTGCCTATACGAATTGTCACCCAATGCGGCTGCAAATCGGTCGAAATCCTCCAGGGTCATCATACGATTAAACATGAGACCGAAGGATATGGCCACGCCAGTTGTTGTTGTTGTTGTTGTTGTTGTTGTTGGCCGACGTTCTTCGGTCTGCAAGGCCTCAAGCAGCTGCTTGATCTCAGACAAACGTCTGAAGATCAGCTGCTGGTTCTTTACAAGCCAGCGAACTTGTCGTTTACATGTTCGAATTCCCTTACGGGAACCGTGCTGGTTGGGTCGGCTTTTTTTAAGAAGCGATGTACTCGCCCTGCTATAGTCGTCTACGAGGGAACTGTTAACAAGTTAGACTCTTACCAGCATATGGGAGGAACAGACTTCCCGGAAACGTGCTGTTGGAGTCGCTGCAGTCGCTTTCTAAAGCCTGAAGGACGATGATATTAGGCGTTTGGGTTCCATACCGCGTCCGCATTCGAGCTCACAAAGTCCGCTCTGTACGGCGGGGTGTCTGACCGATACTTTTTCCTCACATTTTCGTCTATCTGACGTAAAATTTCACCAACTTCACTGTCGACAGGCCGCAGAATTGTTTGGTCAGATAGGCGTTTAAGCATACTTCAGACAGAAGAGAGGGTGACGAAGTAGGACGACTTTGTTCAAAGACCACATCCACACAACGCCGTGACAGAATAGTAAATACGCGCAAGAGCGAGCGCGAGTCCAATTTACCGCCCTATCAACGTGGAACCTTTCGATATCCGCGTACGTGACATGCCTACAAGGTCAGCAGAAAACCAATCGATTTTAAGCCTCGGACGACCGGCGGCGGTTGAACTACGAATCGGAGCTCTTTGTCGTCCGGACGGTTTATCCATGATTTTGCGGCCAAAGAGAATTAAACGACCCGAGTCTATTTTGAAAGACGTATTACGACTTTCGTAGAAAACTCGGGACTGAGTGCCTCGTTTAAAACTGGTCATCCCCGGGAACCTGTTGGGTTTTTTAAGTTCCAGTAAACATCCGTTCACTTGTTCCCTACTGCTTCGTAAACGTCCCTATGTATTTTTCCACTTTGAGTTGATAAACACTTACATGTCCAGTCACTCGATCGACAGTCTGTACCTAGGTTTTTATGTTTCCCAATTTCCGTTAGATGTCGTAGATTAGCCGTTGTCCTATCGAGTATTTGTTCACGACAGTTTCATTTTCTTCCTCCCAGTAAATTATTATCGCGAGCAAACGTCTATTATTTCACCAGAGTAACTCCATTAACTCAAGGTTGTCTAGGCTTGTGTGTCGAGTTATGGGCTTTTTAGGAACTGAACCTGAGAACGTATCTTAGATCGTGAAGAATCGTAAATTGTCCTCTAACAAGAGGGATGCCACGACAAAACTTTCACTGCGCCGGGTGGATATTACGATAGCCTGGAGGGAATAGGTTAAGAACGGCAAGACGATGACACGATTATGAAAACCGCTCGGGCTGTGCTCCACTTCGCCACCCAAACCTCGTTCGCATCCGAAATGCCACATGAGGGTTCCATGAGTATCGCATAAGTTTAGTCGTGGTTAATATCATCTCGCCTCGCGCCTAGTGTACATGATACTTTTTCGGTGTTAGTCAGCTCGGTTTGTGTGTCTCACCAATTCTAACAAAATACTGAACTATTTAAATCCTTTTCGTCGTTTGTTGAACGCACATTCACAGCCACTAACAGTGAGTCAATAAATTCACAGTCAGGGCCACCGCATAATTCTGGAAAATTTGGAGGTTGGATATACTATTGGACAGGCAAAAAGAAGCAGCAACCCTGCAGCAATAAATATTCTGATCTTATTTTGAAGAAATGAAACGGTCTCCAGCAGTTCACACATTTCCTTAACCATTTTTCAGCTATTGCCAACAGCCCGCCGTCAAATGAAGTGACTGGCAGGAGGGTGGATGGCACATTAGAAGATGGATGGTAGGGGTACCGCGATCAACTTTCAAACACTGTGGATGCCAGGGAGGAAGGGAGATAAGTGACTGCACGGAGGGAGTTCTGAATAAGGGGCCCGTGGGAAGAACAGATAACGTCTTGTTGTACTGTTCCAAAAGCTTGATGGTACGGACAATAAATGAAAAGTACTCGAAGGACTCCGCAGCGCGCATCTGTGCGGATAGGACGGCTAATACTGTTACTACTGGGGAGTCGGGTCACCAACAAGTCTTGCCAGAGTACGGTGCGAGGCCCCACCGTTAGATTCAGTGGTAATCATATGGGCCGACAACCTGCCTACCTCCTAAGAGACAAGTCCGAAGATGTCCACTTGAGGGCTAATTATTGTTCTTAATTTCTGTGTAATCTTCCAGTTATTTAAAGGTAAATATAGTTAACAATTCTGAGGAAATAAGGGTGTCTAAAGGTGTTGTCAGACATTACAGCACACTGCTGATGGAAGTGGAGATGGCGGTAAGGATGGTCTGGGTGGTTAGAATGTCCTCATTGGTGATTCCCATTGTGTTGGTTGTGTTTTGTGAGGTAGTAGACGGGTTGGTCATCTTGAGATCGCCCTGGGTCCGATGACGTCCAGCGGCGAAATTTGTGCCCCAAAGTGTCGGTTGACAGAATGGTCATGGTGGAAGGGCTCAGATGCTGGCGTCTTTGTTCCACGGCACGCGAGTCTCGAGATTTCCTTCTCCGGCATTGGTCACCGCTGTTCGGTTGGTTTTGAAGACCCCTGCAGCAGTTTTTATGTCGGTGCGCCACTTCTGCAGATTCTGCATGAGGTCTTCTCAGGTCTCAGAGTTGGTATTCAAATGTTTGAGTGATGTTTTCGGGTCGCATGTCTAACCCCGCTCCTGTCCGGATTGTCTAAAAGCGTCCCTGCCGCCGGCGACGTGGGAGAACCGCTTGGACGGCGTTTTTCGTACATCCTCATGACATGGCCGCCCCCAGCGCAATTGCATTTTCTGCAGCGCCGTGTAAATACCGAAAACGGCGTTTCTTTCTAAGACCGTGTTGTCTCAAATTCGTTTTTCTCGAGGAGGATTCTGCAGTGACTCCAGACGGATTTTTGCAGCCTGTCGATAACTTTGCCGGTCGGGAAGATCTACTTGGGGAGTTCGTCGCTAACCTCGATGTTTCTTAGAATTATGTTTCCTAATTACGCCAGTTTGTTTACTTGTGTTAGGCAAATCTCACTGACAGTCGTAATGGATTCGTTACGGGCGTCGTTTGGCGACAGCTGGGGCATGACAACAATCTTTCCTGGGCTGGCTTTTTGCGGTTCCACAGTATTTTTTTTGAAGCCAGTCCCTGCTGCAGATACGATTTCAAGTGACCGAACAAGACACGAGCCCATATCTTGTTAGCAATTCCGAACAGATAAATTCTGTCATGATTGTCGCAGATTTAACGACCCTTTCGAGATTTTCCTTTTATGGTCACCTTACTTAAATCAGTAGAGCAGGTTGGCCATTAAAGTGGAATCAGTGCATTTTAAAAGCACGGCTGATCTTTAGAAGGTTCCAGACACTTTTCTACTTGAAAGTCGCTAGACAACTTAAATATTATTTTTCACAGAGGGCCGGTGCTCTGAGCCTGTGTTGGCTTCCATTGAAGGGAGTCTGTTGATATTTCCTTCAATGAATTTGGACTGGTGGTTGATAACACCTTAGAATTACTCCTACCGGCGCTCCAGGACCAGCAACTTCTCCAACAGTAGAACCGTGGGCTTGTTTTACTACTGCGAGGACATTCTTTGTCTCATTGCGGTCAACATATCCTTGGGTTTCCTTAGTTTTACGAGCTGGCCCATCGTTTTACATCTCTCCCAGCCACCGCTGCAGTAGGCTTCGGCATAGGAAAAATTCGGTCTTATTGGGATCCGTCCTGTTGCAGACACAGATTGCGCGCAAGCTGTCGTTTTGGGAGAGGAGACATCAGATTTCGTCATTGTTGACGTCTAAGCGGTCTTACTGTTTTCGGCGTGCGTGAACAGACGGTTGTAGCAGATTACGTCCAACAGTTCCCATTATTGCATCCAAGCCATTTCATTATCTTCCAGAACGTGCATCTGTCCCAATTTGAGATTCATTCAATTTTTAGAAATCCCCTGGACGTGTGGCCATATTCACTATCGTAGTGTTTCATTTTCCCGGTGTTTGCTGACTTTGCGGCCGCCTTCGCGATTGCAGCAAAAGCCCATTCTCTAAGACGGCAGGGCAATGGTCCGTCCTTCAGACTGCATCAAACACTTACTTGCCTACTAGCACACCGGGATGTCCAGGCCTCCTGAAGACGATGCAGTCCAGCAGTTGGCGGTGAGACAAGCAAGGATGCATCCAGATTGCAATTAAATTCCTGATATATGCATCGTCAATCAGCTCCACAGCTGCCCCCAATATGCCCCTTCCGACAAATTTTGCCGCAGAACTTTTCACTGATCTGTCGTGAGTCTTCTGACTGCTCTTCATTGTGACTTTCTGCCTGTGGCTCTCATCTAACAAAACCTTCAACAGCAACGCACACAGAACTCTTTTTTAAGGCTTGCAGCCACTGGTTATCAGTAAGTCACGTTTATTGAACCAGGGGTAGATGGTCTTAACAGGCTCTACTTTTAGTCATATTCTGCAAGGGGCCATATTATGTCCTTTTCTTTTCCCCGTACTTATTAACAATATTTCGTCAGCAGTTAGACATTCCAAAACCTTTGTTCATCCTGATGATCTCAATTGTACATATTCTCCTGACGGTATGAACCATTCTTGCATAGAATAAATAGACACGCATCTCACGGCTCCTTATGGACGGAGTTCTGGCAAGCAAATGAAACTTTCTTCATCTAGGTGTCCTTTTGTGAGTTATGGATCAGACAATCTTCCCTATGGCATCCTATTTATAAGATACACTGATGATTAAATGATTTGCCATTAAGGACCTCGGTCGATGTTGTGCTAACAGCTCAGGTTTTTTCGCCTACACCAATCTGACTACGGCCGAGGCTGTCTAGATTTGTGCCATTATTCTCCTTTATTGCTCGCGGAAAGTAGTGTAAGACTGTGACGCATTTTTGTATTTCCCATTTTCCAGTAATGTTGCCTATTGTTCAGTTTGATTATTGGTTTAGGCCATTCGAAGACTAAAAGTATTCCGGCATTTAACTGGATGAGTTTCCTATCATGTCCTAGTATTTATTATTCGAGAGGATGAAAAGTAACTACAATAAATTTCCAGCCATTTGGGAGGCTGGTCTAAGCCTCCTATCACAATCGTTCTCGTACTGAAGTTCTTATCCCCGTGAGTCGTCCTAAAACGTGAAAGCTATCTTCTATTACACATATCTTATTTCCTCTACGCTTAGACGGTCGCTTTCCCTTACCTCTAGATAGGTTTTTCTATTAAATAATCGAGTACTCAGGATTAGCTTTTCGTGTGTATCTCATCAACACTAAACAAAACTGCGTACCTATCTCGACATCGATTTTAT